AAATTGCCTTATCTGATTTTTGCCTTCTACTAAACTTTGAACATAGGCATAAAGTAAACTGCTAATAAATGTACAAGTTGGATTCTTTGTTTTTCTCAAATGAACTAGTTAGGTGTTGTGAGAGAAAATGTGTCAAACAGATGATGTGATGTGACGTGGCTGTTATTCTTTCCTACTTATTTTTTCAAAGTTGAATTAAACAACCCATAATATGGTATAAATAACATATGATTGTGCTTGACCATGAATATTTGTTCTTTACTAAGAGTTCATTTTTCTAATAAGTTATGGCAAAAATAACTCCATGTCTGTTTTTAAACTCTGTGTTTAGTCACTGAAGTCTGTGCCATCCTTTCCTCGGAGAGCCATGATGTGAATATGGTTTTTTCAAGTTTTTACCTTTTGGTTACCTTTAAGACTTTTTACTCTCCTATGTATTGGCATGTTTTCCCATTTTCATACTTCGGGTGTGCTCTGGATTGAGTATCATAATAGAGAAAGGGTGATTCACCTGAAAGGTGTTCTCGGAGCATTCACTGGTCTTACGGGTTAGTGAGGACAGCATATGGAACCAACAAGTTGTGAGCATAGTGAGGTGCTGAAAGGACCATGTCTGTGAAATGTGCCGGTAGGAATGTGTGAAGAGAAATGGCTGAACTAAAGGGCTAGAGGAGCTTGGCTAAGGAAGTTAAAGTGAGGTGGAGTTTTCAAGAATGTTTTCAGGATAATTAACAAAGAATAGAGAACATTTGTTCTGATATTTGTAGGCAAAAGGAATGTCAGGGAAGGTCGCTGGCAAGTCTCGACATGAAGAGTAGTGCACTGTGACGAGGGACAAGGCCAAGTCCTGGTGACTGTGTCCCTCTGTGCCATGGTGAGGGCTGACAAGCATTAAAAACTTACGCTGGTAGATTATAATAGCTTAAACGTTGTGAAGGTGCCAGAGGTATCAGATGAGGTGGCAGCAGTGAGGATGAAGAAAACAGAGTTGATTTGCAGTTGGGACTGACAGAAGTTAGTTGATTGGATCTGCGGTGGAAGGAAAAAATGTGCTTCTCAGAGTGAGCTACAGTGGGCCATTTGTGCCACTGATGGGAAATGGGATGTGGGGGGGATTGTGATAAAAATGTGAGTCTTTCTGGATGTGTGTTTGAGACACACATGAGGCAGACACCTCTGGAGTTCAGCCTGTGAGTCACTGGCCTTCAGAGACTGCTTGGGGTCATGATAATGGTGCAGATGTCCAGCAGGCAGGCCTGTGTGGAGAGAGATATGATAGGATCAATAGCAGAGATTCCAGCATTCAGGGTAGCAAATGAGAAGGGTTTTATAGGAAGCTGAGGGTCATTTACAGATAGAGAAGGGCAACGAGAGGCATAAGGGTCATGGAAACCGCGAGGGGAAATGTATTCAGAAAAGGCCAGTAATGTTGAGTGCTGCGAAGAGGTTAGGGGATCTGAAGGCTCAGAGTTTTCTGTACCATTATAGTTTTTCAGAAATTCCAAGCCTTTAGATCCCCTAAGTTCTTCGCAGCACTCAACACTATTGACAATGTGAAATAGGAAGAAAAAGGGCTAAAGGTGTATGGGAAATGGGAAGGGTAGGGGAAAGGAAATAAGGGAAAAGAACAAAAAAAACATGAGAAAATGAAAAAATGGAAATAAAATGTTTGTAAATGGAGAGGGGAGGAGGGGGTGAAGAGAGGGCAGGGACAAGGGGAAAAAATGAGAACCAAGACCTGTCATGTAGAGGTACAAGATCCCAATGATGAATGTAACTGTACTGTATACCTAAAATATACCAATAAACTCAATGAGGAAAAAATTTATTACACTAAGGGCTTGTAATTTTCTATTAGTTTTTATGATAGAGTGGTCATTGGTAATTTTAGAAAGAATAAGTTTTATGTATAGGTAGGGATCTGCTCTTCTTCACCTAAAATCTTAATCTCCATTTTCTATTCCAGTTGACTTTTTTCTGTGTTCTAGAACATGTGCATCCTTTACTAATTTTAAGCAGTTTCCATGCTATTTCGCTGTATTTAACTCTCCTGACTTGGGCCATGTGTTAGTCACTTTCTCGTCACAAAGGCACTTGACACACACAATTTGAAGTAGAGGTTTATCTTGGCTCACAGTTTTTGAGGATTCTGTCCATGGTCTGCTGACTCCAAGCCAGAAATAGCCTGGTGAAAGGGAACAGTGAAGGATTGCTCCTTACACCGTGGCAGCCAGGAAGCAGAGAGAATGGGGAGCAGCCAGGGACAAGAAACACTCTCCACGTCACACCCGCATGGACCCAGCTCTGCTGACCAGGCCCCGGCTCCTAACACCATGCTCACCTGTGTGCTCTTCAGTGGATGAGCATAGTTAGTGCCTCCCTGACCCAGTCGCGTGACATTTTAGTTCTGCACCATAACGTCCCACTCAGCTTCTTCTTGCTGCTATGCTGTTTAACTGGTTGGACATCTAGTTCTCATAGGATTCCAGCTCCCTAGAGTTCGTGGTCCACCTTGGCTTTGTTCTCTGCTGAGCCTGACATCTTCATATAAACAACAAAAGCCTTGGCTTCCAGTTCTTTTTTTGTTTTTGTTCTCTGTTTTCCTGTGTAGAAAATGTGTTAAATTACTAGGGTACTTAAAATTGAGGTCTTTTTATAAAGTGAGTTAATGGATTTTTCATTTTCAATATTTGAATTGTGAAAGTTTGCTTTCTTGGTATATTTCACCAACTGTTAATTCCAAAGGCCTCCAGAATAGGCACTGTGGTATGGATAGAGAAAATTCTGTCTTGAGCACTGTTTCCTTAAGCTAGGTTTATAATGGATTCAAATGAATATATTCAAGGCACTTTTTGCCAATTTGAATCTTTTAATATTCACTCAAAGAGTTTCAAACAAGCTTGCCAAGACTTTCTAGACATAAAACTATTGAACATTTCTGTTTGCTTGCAGTTTTTGTTATCTATTTAATAACGACCTATACTGACATGTAGATTCTTCCTACTTTTTTAATTTTGTTTTACTTAGAAATGATAAAATTGATGAAGTTTCACACCTGACTTTTTCAGTTTTTATCAGTACCTTTTGGTGGTACATAACACCCAATATCTGTTAGAAGAATTCCTTGTAAAGTTAGTCAAAACTGTCAGTTACAGTGGTACTGTAGTTCATGAACTTAATTGTTTCCATGATTCTGGTCGCTGAACTCATTCTACTGTAGTTAAGGAGTATCACTTTGAAGGATAGGGTAAAGAAATTTTGTGTACCAAATATTTTGGGGGAGAAAACCCTACAAAACCCAAGTTTTTAAAAGTATTAATGCAGAAATGAAAGTACAAGCTTAAAATTCAAAATGACAGTTATTTAAGCATTTAGTTAATATATTTCTAGACCAGCAGAATATAATATGCTGCAGCCTGCCTTTGTTTTTCCTGGATGATTTCTTCAAAGTGTAGTGAGAAATAACTAACAAACTCTGCATTAGTAGCAGAGTGTTACATCAGAGTAAAATCCATGAAGATGCTAATAGATGCCCTTCCATGGAGTGAATGAAGGAAAGCAATCCATATTCTTTGTTCTTGGATTTGGTAACCTGGGCTGATGACAACAGTTTTTCTAGCACCATTTACCGGTGTGAAAAGTAAGGCCCAAATGATATGTAAGTGAAAAATTTTTTAGTGTCTTTTTGCAGTAGCCTCTTGGCTTTCCTTATGTCATAAAGAAATCTGCCGAACTCCCTTTTTTTTCTCAGCCTCAGTGGATTCCCAGAGCAAATGCCCACAGTGTATGTGTATTCTGACTTCTGAACTCTGGCTCCTAGATCATGAGGCTGAGTTCTCCGTGTTGCAGCTCTCTCCCTATGTGGTAGTTGAAATGCTACGAGACCCTGTGGTTCTCTCTGGGAGACATTTACATCCAGAACATTTTGAAGTATGTTCGTACTCACTCCCTGTTGCTTTCCCTTCTTGTTAGACCTTTCTATAACTCCTAATAATCTTCATTTTCAAATAAAGTGAGAGTCTCTATATGTGTATTCTGACTTCTGAACTCTGGCTCCTAGATCATGAGGCTGAGTTCTCCGTGTTGCAGCTCTCTCCCTATGTGGTAGTTGAAATGCTACAAGACCCTGTGGTTCTCTCTGGGAGACATTTACATCCAGAACATTTTGAAGTATGTTCGTACTCACTCCCTGTTGCTTTCCCTTCTTGTTAGACCTTTCTATAACTCCTAATAATCTTCATTTTCAAATAAAAAGTGAGAGTCTCTAGGATGGTCTAGCTGAGGGTGCCTTTCGTTATACGGGTCTGATAATTATGTGGTATTTTCTCCCTAGGAATGCTGCCTCTGCAATCTGAGAGGGGGTGCTCTTAAGCAAACTAAGAACAATAAGTAAGTAATGCATTAATTGTGTTGTACTTCATCAGTCCTTTCCCCTTTCTAGAACCTCTCTGTAGAAATTTGCTTTACCACTCAGTGTACAAAAGTTTCTCTGTCCAAATCTGAGGTTGGGGCCCTGTGTTTCATAGAGCACTGCTGAAAACACCCTTACCTCTCTGCCAGTCTGGGCTTCTGTGGCTTGCTTCTGCTTGTGCATCTGACACCACGAAGAAGAATTATTCTTTTACTAATAGATGTTGTAACATAAATGCAGCCCATATCATCCAGGTGCCATTAGAATCCTAATGTTCGCTATGATGAATCCTGTTTGTCTTATAAAAGTAGAATATGGCAAAATGGTTATCTCCTGATAAATCAGAGTCACGACATTAACAAAGCCTTTTACTGTTTTTTTGATATTGGGGATTGAACTCGGGACCTTGTCCTTGCAAGACAGGCAGCGGCACCACTGAGCTAAAATCCCTGGCCTAGCCTTTTACTTTTTTTTTGTTTTTTTTTTGAGACAGGATCTCACTGTGTAGTTACTCACTATGTGACCAGGCTGGTCTCAAACTCACAGTGATCCTCCTGCCTGAGCCTCCTGAGTGCTGGAATTACAGGTATGCACCACCATGCCCGGCTCTAGCCTTTTACTTTTAATACCAGTAAATTAACAAGAATATATGCATACTAAGTTAGAACACACACACACACACACACACACACACACACAAAAGAAAACATTGATACTAATATTAAAAGGGGCACTTGGAGAATATAGTCTTGAAAGAGTAACAGTGAACATTAAATAAGGTAATCTTCCTTTTATGACAATTTTGCATGAATTTTATTTTTATTTTTATGACCAGGTTTTACTATTTACTATTTACCAAACATATTGTATAGAAATGGTTTAGGCAGAAGGTGCGAGCTGCCATGCAAGGGCTGGCTATAGCTCCAAGATATGTTTTGCTTGACCCTTATAAGCACTTTGTACATTTCATCCAATATTTCAAAATTAAGAGATTTTTGCATACAAATCTTGCTTTTCATCTTAACTTGAGAAATGCTTGTGCATTTCTGTGAAGGAGTAACAAGTTGCCTCAGTGGGGCAGGTCCCAGGTCACCCCGGGTTTCCAAGGTTGTGTGTACTTGGTTATATCCTGCCTAGCTCCAGGCACTGGTGTAATGCAGTGGTGGAGTTAATGTCATTATGTCCATGTGCACACACTTCCAGTTGTTTAGGAGGAAGAGTTAACACATTTATCATTGCTGCATTAGTAAAGTTTAATCTAAGTGAACTGTAGTTTTTCCTTATTTTTAGGTCATATGATTGACACTATGCTAAACAAACCTTCCTAGGTCTTGAATGTTACACAGGCTGCTCAGATGGTGAGATAGGTGGGCCCTCTGAAGACTGATGTGATAGGAAGTTCTTTTCCTACTCGCAGCATGCTTATTCAAACATGGAAGGCCAGCCTAGTGAAGCTGACAGTTGTCCTCTCTTCCCGTAGTCTTAAAAGGTATTACGGAGTCTGATGTTGTTTAAATGAAATAAATATGTGTTGGCTTAAAGTAGCTCGATAGATTCAATAATTCTTCCATAATCCCTTCGAGCTTTATGAGTTTTGTATTCATTTGGAGGTATAACATCTATAAGATGATTTTCTGGACTGATATGGAGTGGAAGAGGTACTAGATTGTAAATAACAGACTGGAGAACAAGTTAAATTTTATGTCTCCCTGTCTCTGTGGTCCTTTGATTATAGTAGGATTGTAGTGATAAATAATTAAATACTTAATATTAATTTTTATAGGAAACGTTTGCTATTTGTTGTGCTGTATGACATAGGTATATCATGTTGAAAAGCTTATCTTCAACACCCAGTTTTGAATTATTTTTTTGCTGCATATTGATTAAGTACATTAAGTCCACTCATATTTTACCCTATATTCCAGTATTTTGCACATCAAATGAAGAAAGATGTTTGAACGTTAATAGCACTGCATCCCTGATCTTCACCTAGTTCTTGATGTCATAGTATTGGGCAGGTGTGGTACTGAATCTTTGCAGCTGTCGTTCAGAAGGTCTAAAATTCAAATCTGTTGTGTAGAGTCGGGCTTCTGGCTTTGTCATGTGCATGTCTCCCATCTGTGAGCCTGTCACCACCAGGTTGGAGTATGAAGGTAGAAAAGCTTAGTGAGCCTTTGTTTATGTCTACTGTTTCCCTTCTATAGGTGGGCCCACGTCATGTGCGCTGTTGCGGTCCCAGAAGTTCGATTCACTAATGTCCCAGAAAGGACACAAATAGATGTAGGCAGAATACCTTTACAGAGGTTGAAATTGGTGAGTGTCAAAACTTCTTTTTAAAATCTATCTCATAGTGTTAATTTCAGATTCTGACTTTTTCTGTTAATGCACACATTCCAAAGATAACTTTTCTCATAGCTTCAGTTTATTCTACTCTTATGTTCTCAGCCTAAATTTATTTATCCTTTCAAGTTCTCTTTTCTGTTATGTTGTAAGCCTGGATAACCATTCTCAAGTTCTGTTTGAAACAAGGGAAAGGATTAATCCATTTCTTGAACTAATGTGAACATTCAAACTATGGGGCATATACTGAGACAGCAGTAATGGGCTGAGTTGTCCAGCTCTGTTTAAATTGTTTTGTGTTTCTCTCTCCTTGGTTAGTTTTGACTTAGGAAAATGTATCAGACCTAGTTTCATCATCTTTTTATCAAAAAGATTCTTAACAGAGAAATGCAAAAGCTTTTGTTATCACTAAGGGGTTTTCTCACTCATGTCAGGTGGAAGTCAGTATGCCAAACTCTCTGGCCTGTTACTATCTGACCTATTCAGAAACTTCCATCAAAAATCTTCCCACTGGTTTCCCTTGTTAAGAGTATTTTTTATGGAAAATATAAGCCTTTGATGTCCTTAACCCTGAGATAATTTTGTAGTTCTGTTCACTTGTGAGAAAACAAATCATTAGTTTGGGCTTTACACTGTATATTTAATGCGAACTTTCCATGAAGTTACCCTGCATGACCTTAATATGTTATATGTCTCACAGGTAAACTCAGTACTCTAGAATTGCTTCAGTCCCTGTTGTTTTTAATCTAAGGCCTTTCCACTGCAGAATATCACATGCACTAACACTGAAATGATCTCTTCATGAATTGCTTGTTTTCTTACAACTCTTTCCCCACGGTGAACAGGGTATGCTGCCTTTGGGGCTTTTTCTTAGGAATTTAGTTGTTTGTCTTTTTTTTTTTCCCTCTTCTCACAGAAGAGTAAGTGAAAACTATTCTTTCTTATCATATTCTATTAAGAATTTTACTTTGAGAGAAAATTTATGGGACCTTTTCACTGGACTGGGGATTGCCATCCAAGTGGTGTGTCAGGATTATGAGAGTTTACATCTTATCAGCTAAAATGGGAATGAATGCTTCACTTGCATGGCCCTTTAAAAAAAAAAATCCCAAACAAAAATATTTATAAAATATTTATAAGAAGTAGGAATATAGCCAAGTATATTTGAAAAATGAATGAATTAATGTGTTAAAGAATTTAATGCTTGTGCAACAAATACTAATTTTCCCCCATTATAAAATGACATTTATTTGTAAAAATTCAGATGCTACGTTTGAATATCACCTTTGATTGCCTAAATGTAGAGTGGCCCTGAGCGGTCATGCTCTTGAGGCTGCCCTCTTAGGGCTTGTGTCTGGGCTGCTGCGGTGCTTCCTCGTGATCGAACGTCTCTCACACTAGTCCTGAGAGGGCAGGACAGAGCAGGGAGGAAGGAAGGCCTGGTTATCTCAGTCCCATTCAGATGTTAGGTCCAGACAGCTCGTAAGTGCGTCTGAAGGTGGTGAAGCTTATGGTTTCCTTTACAATGTTGTACTTCATCTTGATCAGATAGATCACGTATTTTTCATGGAATGTTTCCATCCTTAAATGAAGAATATGTCTTGACCAAATTTAAGATCATCGCAGATCTATTCCAGTGACAATGCAAAATATCGCTCCCGGACATTTTCCGATATCTTTGATATATACAGTACAGTATTTAGGTGACCAGATATTGACCAGATATTGTTCTGTGTTTTATGTAATTTTTTGTTTATGGAGAGTGTATTGGAATGGCATTGATCAAAATGCTCATGGTTGTCTTCAATGGGACACTAAAAGTGCAGCTTCATTTGAGCAAAAAAAATAACAACCTTAAAATGCTGTAAAATTTGTAGGAGGCCAATGACAGGAAGCCTGCGGGACTGTTTCATCAGAAGTGCCCAGGAAAGGGCCACCACCTTGGTGATGACAGAGTCTGTGTCTTAGTCTTTACCAGTGTCTCAGGATGGTCAGACTGAGAAAGACTGGTTTTAAATAATAAAATTTATGTAATTATCACTTTTTTGAGTTGTGGAATGCACTTTCTCAGGGATGCTTTTTCCTATATTGGGCCAAACATAGTTTCCTAACAGTAGCATTCTTTTGAATTTTAAATGGTAATCTAACAAGTGCAGGACCGACCAGTAAGCTAGTAGGGCAGTAGATTTGTAAAGTTATTTCATCTGAGTAAGTCCAGGCAAGTTATTTTCCTGTGCCTGTTTAATGAATGTATTTATGTCTGTGAGTGCCAGTTTCAGAATTTTTTCTGAACCCTCGGGGATCTCTTTCTGGACTCCACCTTCCTATTCACACAGATGGGACATAAGCGAGAGCTATTTAGATGTCCGAGGCAATTTATTTGACCAATAACTACCTATATCGGCAAATGGGAAATACATTTTTCAAATAACACATTCCTGTCCTCTAGTAACTTTTAATCTAGTTCAGGATTTCTTAACCTTGGCATCACTGACATTTTAGAGCACATAATTCTTTGCTGTGATGACTGCTGTGTGCATCACAGGCTCCAGCATCCCTGGCCAGACAGACACTGCTGCATATTCCCTGGGATGCAAAAATGCCTGCGAGTTGAGAAATCACCGGTCTACAGTGAAGACATGCATGAAAATGTCAAAATTTTCCTTTCCATTATTTTTAGATACAGAATATTTTAGTTGATAGACTCAGATTGGAAACAGAAAAGAAATTCTTAGATGTTTTCATTAAACAATCCTAGACAACTTTTTGACAAAGTGTTTAAATTTCTTATTTGTCATTCAAGTGATACTTTGGCAATATGTGCACATTAGCTACTGTGGAATTACAAATTATATAATAAGATTTAGTATTTTAATATTACTTGTTCCTATAAAATTTGAACACTGAAATAGATACTAATGAAGTTTTACCAAAGATTAAAATTCTGTGTTGTGCATATATGCACATAGTTGTCACTGGGGAAACATTTATGGAATGAAGAAAAGGCAAGGGGAATCATTATTTCTACTTCTAATTAAAAACAGTTATGATTGGAGGGGTTTGACTGGGGAATAACAGTAGTTGTTTAGTGTTTTCTTCATGGTTCTTCCTTTAAATGCAGTTGAAGGGAGTGCACACGTGTCTCTGCACCTCTAAAGCAAGGCATTGGGGAAATATGCTGTGGAGCCTGGCAGCACTTCAGAGATCCTGTGAAACACCCGCGCTGCCCTTGCCCCATTGGCTAAAAGTGTTGATTTGGGAACATTTAATCAGTTGGGGGCTTAATTAAAAACTCGAGTGGACAGACAAGTTTGTCCTCCCCGAAGCAGTAGCAGAGGTGTTTCTTAGTCTCTCCCCAGTGCCCACTAGGTGGTGCTGCCACATCAACCTAAACTGCTGCTTCTCCAGTGCCTCATCAAAGCTTTGCGCGTACATGTAGACCACGTGTGCGTGCGTGTGCGTGTGTTTGTGTGTATTGCATGCTGCAGTGCTGTAGTTCAAGGGATTGCTGTAGGGTGTAGAAAGTATTCCTTATGATGCCTTCAAAGGTATTGGATTCCAAACAGCAATGTTTTTTAGTTCAGCTGTTCATTTAGCAATATAAGAAGATACTTTCCCTTGGGCCAGGTTAGTGTTCTTCTGTATCAATAATATATAACACTAGTAAGAGCTAGTAACTGCATGAGGCTTAAAGAATAAATATGGGAAACATGAGTTTAAGATGTCTTTTGAGCCATAAAAGCTGTTTATTTTAAAGTATTATTGTTAGCAATCTTTCTACAGTATGGAATACAATGGACCCTTCAATTATGACCAGCCTCACATAAAAAAAATTGAGCCACAAATGGAATTTTAGTTTTTTTTATTGAGTTTATTGGTACATTTTAGTTATACAGTATAATTACATTCATTATTGGGATCTTGTACCTTTACATGACAGGCCTTGGTTCTCATTTTACCTTCACCCCTTCCTCCCCTCCCCATTTACAAACACTTTATTTCCATGCTTTCATTTTCTCATATATTTTTCTTTTCCCTTATTACCTTTCCCCTACCCTTCCCACTTTCCCTACACCTTTAGCCCTTTTCTTCCTATTTCACATTAGAACTTTAGTTTTGATGTACAAAGTCTTGAGTTACAACCCGAATCTGGTCTTTTCTGTTTGGGGTTGAGAAATCCTGGGCCAGTATCTCTCTAAGGACATGGAAATTAGGCCTGGAAGAAAGTGTGGCTTAACATTATACTGAAGAGAGACTCCAAGGGCTGTGTAGAGCAGCCTGAGCCCTTAACTGATCCTGTGGTTGATGACACTGTCACTATAGCAGAGTCCACAGGCTCGCAGGTAGACCGTGGTGATGTTGAGGAACTGGGGGAGGAGCACGCAGAGGAACTGTCTACAGAGGAACTGCAGCAACTCCTGGCTGAGCAACAGAAAATGGCAGCCGAGAAGCTTTCTGAAGAGGAGGGGGCGCATTAACAACCAGTGCAGCAGGGACATTTAGCTCCGTGGTGTTGCCTCCTGCCTAGCAAGTGCAAGATCCTGAGTTTGATCCTAGTGACCCCCACTCACACACAAAAAAACTCAGAGCAGCAAAATTCTTCTGACATGAAGGAAATTCTTTAAAAAAAAAAGGACAGAGCTACAAACACTGGTAGAGAAGACCCACCCAGACAGGGAAAAAGCCAATCATTGCATTGACTTGCTTAGTGACAAAGTCATGTCATACTACAGAACCGTGTTAAAGACAGAAACAGACAACCTTAGACCAATTTTTAGTTCTGAAAACGTCAAGATCTAGTGAGCCAGAGCAGTTCCCAGTAGGCTACAGACTCTCCCAAGGAAAGGACACCAGAGAACCAGATTCCTGATATTCTTAGGGAAGGGGACTCTTCTTCCAAACAATAACCACCTTCCACTTCATCCTCCCTTCCTGCAAGCCAAAGATGTCAACTTGAATGGAGAGTACAGTAT